TCGTACCGGTCGGTTGTTCGTAAAGTACCGTCGTAAATAAAGTTAGTACGGGTCCGAAACTAAATTAGTATGCGACTCGAGGTTGTCTCCTCCTCTCTCTCTCTCTCTCTCTTTCTCTCTCTCTCTCCTCCCACGCTACTTTCTCACTCCTCACCTCTATCTTTTGGCAGAGGCGCAGGACGGACAGAGTTGGGTCAGGGCCCCTCCATCTCTTTTATCGCCCTGCCCTCCTGCGGTCCTCACCAACGCGAAGTACGTCCATTTAATACTGCCGCCGCTCTCTCTCTCTCTCTCTCTCTCTCACTCATCTTTTTATCATCATTCATCACATTAGATCAATTTCCGTCTCGTCTCGTCTCGTCTCGTCTCGTCTCAACTGAATCAGATCACATAGAGACGCCCATGATTCTGAATTCTCACTTTCTAATTATACTTAGTGCGTCTATGTTTAAAACACAGGTTCTTCAAATGGGTGTGGTTTGTACGGAACGGAGGCTATGGACAATTAGAGCAAATAACACCTTCATATATGGTGGGTTTCAATACTGGAAATCTTTATGATAGCTTTAAAATATATTTTTATTTTTAATTATAAGATTTAAATCTTTAATAATAATGCAGATTGAGATCTATGAAATCTTAAAAATTCGCGGTCCAAAAATACCTTTTAAGATATTCTATTTTCAAAACTTGAAATCCATTTATGCATCTTGATGTCGAGATTATTTATTTGATGATATTTGGGCATCAAAACAACCTCTTTTAGTAAAAATTTTGAGGTCAGCTCTAATTTGATTGTTTAGAGCCTAGGCTTTATATAAACTTTTCCCTTTTTTAAAAAAATTGAATCTATATAAATCTACATTTTATATTTTTTTTTAAAAAAACAAATTTCAAAAAATTTGTTTCCCTATGATTGAATGCAATATCGGTTGGTTCAACTCAGAACCGGCCGGTTAGATCATAACCGACTACTGGCCAGTTCCGCTTTTGGCCTGCTTGGTGATTTGGCCGGGTATTTTAAAAAATTCAAAAAAAACATATAAAATCATAAAAAATAAAAGATTTGTTTGCAATAATTTTTTCAATGCTTTTTATCATTTTGGTAAAAATTGGAAAGTGTTTTCGCTATGAATACTTATCTTTTTATATTTTTTCATTGTTTTTGAAATTTTTTAAAAGTACACTTGAGCACAAAATCGATTTTTTAAAAATCCATTTTTTTAACGAATTTTCTTCATTTCGAAATGCTTTGTTTAACCATACTTTAAATATATTTTCCATATTTTTTAAGATTTTTTTGTATACCTTTTAAAATATAAACCAATATTTTCAATTTCAGCATACGATCATTAGTTAGGTTGTGATAACCTTGGATGAGTCAAATGTATTAATAAATGTTTGATACTTTGATGTGATACTAATTTCACTTATATGGAAAATAAATTTTTAATCTTATAATATGGAAGTGATTTCTAATATTTTTAAATTATTTTACTACAATATTAATATTATATTATAATTAATAATCATACAGATATTCAGACATGAAAACAATGTCTCAGTATTCGCCTATTTTTACAAAATAATGAAAATACATAATGCACCACTCCGAATTTCTTTAAAGAACTAAAATAACATTATTTTTAGAGATTTTTTTAAAATATTTTGGGATGAAACTTGCCGATTCGACTGATTATCCGATCCAACATGCTGATCCACCGATCCAATATGGTTTTTGGAGTGGATGATTCAAGTCACCGATCCATTTTTTAACTTTGGTCCACATAATTGTACTTTCTCAAGGCAAAATATCAATTAAATACCTCGATCTTGTTTCAAAACCCTTAATCTGGTCAAATAATCACGCTTAACTCTATGATGACCATGTTTTAAGTTTTATTTCACTTAAGTACCTCCATAAAAAAATTCTTATAAATAACCAAATTGTGCCTATTCCGGATTGTGAACTATAAACAAATGATGATAATACCCTTACCTGTTTAGGGTTAGTAACATGGAATAGTCATTTAACATGAAAAAATGAGTTCCTGCTGACCTTGAACATGGTATTATTGTTATTTCGAGGAAAAATTATTAAAATGCCTCTACCAGTTTAAGGTTTTCAATTATGAATAGAGTAATTTGGTCATTTTTAGTATATTGTTTAAGGAAGGTATTTAAGTGAAATAAAACTTATAACACAATTTTTCCAATTTTAAATGAGATAATTTGACCACTTTTAAGACCTTGTAAAATAATTTTACCAAACTGAATCTTTGCGATGCATTTTTTTAAAAAAATTGGACACTTGAGTGGTGTCGCAATAGTAACGCCCCAATCAATCTATTCCAAGCGCAAATCCCTTGAAAAACTCTGAGATAGCAGCTGATGAGTGAAAATTATTAGATTTTACAAGTAAAACGGCTGGAGGGAAACCCTAAAACTTGATTTTCAAATCAAGTTATGCCCAAAAACTTGTTTCTTTTTGCGAACATAGGAAGATAAATTGTGACTACGTAAAAATTAATGGGTAGGGTAGCAATGGGCTGCCGGTCTGTCCCAGTTGGCTCCTCCCTTAAAAAACTCGGGCTTAGGCCATAAAATATGGCTTGACGGCTAGGCCAGACCAGGCATGGGTTACGGGGAAGATAGGGCCGGCTCGGTTCGGCCCAGCCCAGCCCGGCCTTTGTTTCGTTTTTTTTTTTTTGCTTCTCTTTAATTTTATTTGGCCTGGCCAAGAAAGGGGTGGGCCAGGACCAGGGCCTCTTTGGCTCAGTCTGGGCTACGCCATGGCCAAGGCCTATTTGGCCTTACCCGAACAGGGCCGGCCCTCAGTGGAATAGGGCCAAGCTTGGGGTCAGGACTGTGCCAGCCGGTTGCCTGGCCTACAATTCGGATGATTCAGCCATGGGCGTCATTCGTTGAGATGTCGGCAATTTAAGTTTGAATATTAATTTGACAGTGAATAATAATGTATATAGGAAATAGGTATTCTATAGGTTTTAGTCCAAAAAATTTGAGATAAAAAATTTAGGTAAATTTCCGGTGAGTTCAAATTGTGAATTTTAGGGTATGAATAAAAAATTTATATAAGGGTGAGGCCCTAAACAATCAGACAAGGGTGCAACTCAAAAATTCACTAGAAGAGG